AATATAAATATTATAATAGGTTCTAAGCAAGAAAATTAACATTTAAAAGAAGTGTTCGATATATCGTTTTTATCGATCTTTTTCTCTGAAAATATCGTGAATATCGATATTACGGAATATCGATTTTTTTGCAGCACTAAGTGCTACAATCAAATGTCACAAAGCAGTAACAAATATATCGATTGTGCAAAAAAGCCATCGATCTATCGGGATATTTAATATCCATCGATAGATCGGTATAAGCCAGCGATAGATTTGCAGCCCTAATGTCTAAATTCGAAATTCATTTAGTTTGGTATTTTAAAATTACTGTACGGCATTTTTACATAATTTGGATGCGGTCACACTGATTTGAGGATGTTGTGGATCTTATTATTTCTTGCACAGCAGTGCTGATAAAAGAGCGCGCACTTTAAATTTTGGTCAGATATTAAGAATGACAATTAAACAAAAACGAACTATTTGAATACCGAAATAAAGTTGTCTGTTATGATTAATACATTTTTCTAAGCAAAAGTGTTTAGAATATATAGATTAAATCTCATAGGCAATTGGCAATTGCAACACGCAAAAATGTCATTCTATTCAAGTTGGCAGCTCCGATTTATGCAGCGGGTATTTCAAGATTGAATAAACTATTATTTTATTACTATTATTATTGCATTGATTATATCTGATTAGAATAAAGCAGATATGTTTTTGTATTGTATTTACTATTAATTATGCGTAAATTATGGAAAATTATTCAAGTGTTATGAGTCGCGCTGCCAAGGTGAAGAATTTATAACCCAATTCATCTGCTAATTATGTACGCAAATATTGATTTTATTTGTATCATTCATCATAGCGGCATTCGAAATTCTGATCGTTTCGGAGCTGTCGACGATGATTTTTCCAGCGCTTTGTGCACTCCACACACAACTGTCTTTGCAGTTCGCAATGCATTTTACAATCTGCCTGCTGTCGCTCTTTGGCCTCTTGCCAGTTCTGCACTGCTCCTACGATGTGATAGCGCCTGCCCAGAACTTAACGGCTTACTTGCTCGCGCGTCAGAAGCGCCATCAGCTGATATACCTGAGCGGAAGCTCCATTCGCCTATTGCTTGGCCCCGTGATTGGCGTCCAGCTGGATGATCCGGTTAAATGGCGCAGCTTTGTCGAGTTCATGGCGGTGCACTTGGGAGGCTACAATTTGCCTTCGGCACCCCTCTATCCATGGGACAAATGGGATGCCGTGTTTTCCCGATCTCTCAAGGAAAAGATACGGCAGCTGGACGCATCGCACGAGGATGACACACGCCTCTTTGCCTACGCCGCCCTGGAGCACTACATGGACAACGCGAGCAGCGTCCCGGGTCGTGGTCGTCAGTGCCTGCTCCGTGCCATGTGCGAGAATGCGCAAGTGCATCACCATGTGGGCATCATAGCCGAGCTCCTGAATTTGTTGCTAACGTAAGTCGTGTAGATCGAAGATCTCAATTGCCTAAGGCTTCATTTCCCCATTGCAGACCCGGCAAGGCGCGACTCGATCAGCACTACAAGGAGGCCCACGCCGCAGGCCTGGCCGGCGTCGACTGTCTGCACCAGTTCCACGGTTGTCCCAGAGGCGCCAGCTTCTTGGATGAGCTAACGGTGGATGTGAATTATTGAGTTTCTGTTATGGTCTAATCTGAAATAAACTTGAATTAAAGAGCAAACTATGCAACACAATTTGGAATGCGTTTCACAGTTTCTTTGCTACTGTAAGCGGACTTCGCTGCCACGCCCCTCAAATGCTGGCCCTCCCCCCGATCAGGTTGCGGCTGCGGCTTGCTGAGAGCTAAATGCTGTGCAGCGAGCGTG